AAGGCCACTTTGGATAAAAATTAATACTATTTCTATTCTCAAGAACACCAATAATGACTGAGGATACAGTGAGGTTTGTGTCTCTTGCTTTGGCTTCATCCACTTGTTCTGAGCAGCTACTTCATTCTCACATTCTTAATCCTCCTGCCAAGCCATCCCATCATGACCTTGGCTCAGGGACTCAGGATGGGAATTTCCAAAGTCTTCCGAAAGCCCCTTTGGTGCCTGTTAGCGGGAAGATATGAATGATTTGACTGCAGCTGTGGGAAGTACTCTTTGAAATGTACTGTTTAACTTTGAAATTGCAAGTGTATCCTGATTTCCATTCAGCCCCTTGCCAAATTCTGCTACTCAGAAAGAACTGATGCCGTAGATTCACAGTGAGTTGGAATAATTTTGCTTTCACTGTTATCATTTAAGGTGGCTCTCACCACCAGTTTACCTGGAGGCCATAACCTACTGGGCAGTAATTTTCTGTGTAAATGCAAACGTCCTTTACCTTGCTGTACAAAGTAGATGATACTTCTGGAAACATTCACTGATCCTCTGGTGTGATAGGAGGTTAATATTGTTGCTCCAGTGTAGTCACTTGAATCCCTATGATCTGCTGTACCTGCATGTCTAGTATTCCTACTTAGAGGCAGAAGTACTGAAACATGGAACAGGTTTTTTGGTACTCAAAAATAAAACTGGCAAAACATGCAGGCAATGGTAACTCAGTGACATTTTCTGTTAAGGCATGGAACAATATCACTATTTTTCAGGTGCTGAACTGGACTTATGAAAAAAACCCTGAATCTCTATTGAAATCTCTGTTGGGCCTGTTCAGAAAGCTGCAGCAGGAAAAACAAAGAAAGAGGAGGCTGTTGCTTTCCGGAGGTTAAATCAACATACACTGTACTGGCTTGAACAGTAGCTTCCCCCCTTGGCTTCTACTGAACTTTGGATCTGGACCCTTGGTTGAAGGGTTGAAGCAGTTGAAACACTGCTTTAGCTATAGAGAATGCCTGTTGATGCATATAGCAAATACACTGTTTGCCCTCCTTTGTAAGTATTACCACTGTACATGGGGCTAACTGACGCAAATATTCATTGTCTCTCTGAGATTTTGTCACATGGAGCTGGAATGGATCCTAAAGTATGTTTTTAACTATTGTTTTCCTCACATGGCCGTATGAACAAGATGGATAATCTGATATTGCTGCTGAGCCCCCAGCTACTTCACTGCAGGCAAAGAATCCCCTTTTTTAATATTTTCCCCAAAACAGTGAAACTTCCAACAAGAGAGGTAGCTGCAGTTTGGAATTTGCCTTTTTCACACTACCATTAATGATTCTGGCTTTCACAAAGTTCTCATTTCCAAATGAACTTGCATCAGTGAACACTTACATCAATCCCTTAAAAGGGGATTTGAATGGAGAAAAAGATGAAACCACTCATACCATCACTCCAGTCAAATGAGGAGTCACCTGTTTCTGTCTGGGCAAAACAGACCATCAGCTATAGACCTGCAGTACTCTATTAGCCTGCCCTTCACTTGCTCTTAAGGTTCCCATGGCTGCTGGCTTCTCACAGAAGGCATCTTCCCCATTAAAATAGCATCTCCTTGGTTAAAGAAGGGACAAATGGACCACTACCTCTGGGCAGTGATTAATTATTACAGACTTATGCATCCACATAGGTAAATGCCTAAGAAGGGCCACTCAGGATGTAAAAGCTTACTTTGGGTATCAGAGGAGAATACTCCTTCAGTGTACTCAACAGTGATAATGCCATATTACTAGCTTAATTAAAACACTGCATAACCTTAGTCAGAAATTGAACTGACTTAAAAAATTGTGGGGAAACTGTCACATGCTACTTTTAAGGTCCAAATATCTACTAGGGAAATGAAATTGATTAAGACATACTGTGCCCTGTAATTGCAAAAGACAGTTGGACGTTGCAGAAACTGAAATCTATTGATCATGCAGTGTAGATGGACTGCTTAAACGAAAATCTGGACTGCAGAAATTATTGGTTAAATTCTCTTATGTGTTTTAAGATGCAGGTATTATAGCTAATAGTCCTTGTATAAATGTACTGATTCTGATCCAGAACTGACTTTAAACTGCGAGGACTTTCAAACATCTCCTGTGAAATTATCTGCACTGTGCCTGATCAACAGGTGCTCAAATATTTGGAGGCAATGTTCTGTTGAGCAACCAATATTTATCTTTAGGATCTAATAAAACAACAAGAAGGCAGAGGATGTCAGACATCACTAGTGCTACTTGCATTATCCTGTTAAAATATAGACAGAACTATGGATACTGAATACCAGGAAAGACAAGGAAAAATAGATTTAAAATTATTGCAAAGGCAGGAACACAGAATTATGTAGTCCAAAACTTCTGTGGAAGAGCG